GGTGGTTTGCTGCTCGGCGTAGCAACCCTGGACTTCCTTGGTGGTCTCCCATCCAAATACTAACCAGGGTCGACCCTGCTTAGCTTCCGAGATCTGACAAGATCAGGCTAGCCTGGGCTATCCAGTTCAGGGCAATATTATGTTAATGAGTATATTTTCATTGAATACTAACATAAATACTGTCATAAATACTACTATTAATACCGGTTTAATTAATTAGGAATAAATTAGTTCTTTTTAAACATTTTGATAACTTGTGGTACACATGGCCAACCACATTACACTTGTGTCAGATCCAGACCACATAATAAATAAGTTCGACGTCCCTGATTTGGGGTTTTTCCAATTGATTGTATTGTGTCCTTCTACAATATTAGATCACGTGAAAAATTGCTTGCATTCACAGCTCTTGTCTTAGGATGGTGTATTACCTGTGGATTATCTTTTAACAATTAGCAGCCATCGGAGAAATATCAGTGAGCCATTCTGAGACATCAACATGACAAAAGAACAATCAGCCAGCAGAGCTACAGGATAGAAAAAAGCTGCTTTTAACCCATGAATAAGAAGTATCTGTATCTACATGGTTCCCAGCTGTTCAAAGAATTTTAAAAGGAGAAGCCAAAACTTCACTTTATCAGACAATGAAGAAAACTTAATAATTGTGGGATTTATTTATTTATTTATTTGTTTGTTTTCATTTATACCCCGTCCTCCCCGCACGCGGGCTCAGGGCAGCTTACAAAACACAGAGGTGTAATACCACACCACAATTTAAAACAATTAAGGCACACAGTGCAATAAAATTACAGTTAAAACAGTTTAAACACCGTGGACAAACTCCCAGGATCCATCGCAACTAGTATACTCACTCCCTATTGTACATCACATTGGGGTCGATGAGAGGGGTGCCGTGGGCCACGATGTTCGGTGGCCAGTCAGCCCAACCTGGCGGTACTGCTCTGCGATCGCCCGTTGGTGGTAATGGCGGCGGCTGCTCCTATTCGAAAGCCTGGCGGAAGAGCTCCATCTTACACGCCCTGCGGAACTGTAACAGGTCCCACAGGGCCCTGATCTCCTCCGGGAGCTCATTCCACCAGATAGGAGCCGCCACCGAAAAGGACCTGGCCCTTGTGGCAGCAAGCCTGGCCTCCTTAGGGCCTGGGGTCACTAGGCAGTGTTGTGACCCCAACCAAAGTGCTCTTTGGGGCCTGTATGGGGAAAGGCGGTCCCTCGGGTATGCCGGTCCCTGGCCATGTAGGGATTTAAAGGGAAGCACCAGCACTTTGAAGCGAATCCGGAACGCTATAGGCAGCCAGTGCAGCGCTTTCAGCACAGGTTGGATGTGGTCCCATCTAGAGACACCCGCTACCAACCTGGCCGCCGCATTCTGCACCAGCTGCAGCTTCCGAATTTGCGACAGAGGCAGCCCCATGTAGAGAGCGTTGCAGTAGTCTAACCTCGAGGTGACCGTCGCATGGATCATTGTGGCTAGGTCTTCGTGGCTAAGGAAGGGAACCAACTGCCGCACCAGCCGTAGGTGGTAAAAGGCTGCTTTGGCAGTGGCTGCCACCTGGGCCTCCATCGTTAAGGTGGGGTCCAGGAGCACTCCCAAACTCCTAACCTCCGAAGCTGGCACTAAAGGTGCCCCATCGAAGGCCGGGAGTGAGAGCCCCACCCCCATTCCACCTCGACCCAGGCACAGGACCTCCATCTTCGCCAGGTTCAGCTTCAGCCGGCTCAGCCTGAGCCATCCAGACACAGCCTGTAACGCCCGTTGAAGGTCTTCTGGGTCGGAGTCTGACTGACCGCCCAACATCAGATAGAGCTGGGTGTCATTGGCATATTGATGACACCCAAGCCCATGCCTCCGGACAATCTGGGCGAGGGGGCGCATGTATATGTTAAATAGCATTGGGGAGAGTACTCCGCATTCAAGCAGGTACCTCCGGGACTGCTGCTCCCCTAGCTCAACCCTCTGTCCCCGGCCTTGGAGCAAAGAGACAAGCCATTGAAGGGCGAGCCCCTGAATCCCCACATCGGCAAGGCGGTGGGCAAGTAGCTGGTGGTTGACCGTATCAAATGCGGCCAACAGATCTAACAACAACAGCGCCGCCACACCGCCTCGATCCAGATGTCTACGGAGGTCGTCAGTAAGGGCAACCAGCACAGTCCCTGTCCCATGTCCCGGGCGAAAGCCAGACTGGAATGGGTCAAAGGTGGAAGCGTCATCTAGAAAGCCCTGCAGCTGCACCGCCACCGCCCTCTCAATCAGTTTGCCCAAATGTTGTTGCTGTTGTTCAGTCGCACAGTCGAGGTTGTGGGATACAACCTTTTATAGCCAGGAATCAGGTTAAGAATAAACGGGTAGTTGTCATGATGTAGAAAAAAAGGTAATAGGAAAGGACCCAAGAGGGAGCAGTGCTGGTTAAATTTGTGTAACTTGTTTTGGAATTAAGTACAGAAGAGTTCAGTGCAGCCAGTAGAAATCAGGAGAAAGAACAGAATGAATCAGAAAATGGTAGGAGAGCACAGACTAGCCCAAGCTTTCCAGATCTTGGAAGCTAAGCAGGGTTGGCCACGGTTAGCACTTGGATGGGAGACCACAAAAGGAGAGCAAGGTTGCCATGCAGAGGAAGGCAATGGCAAACCACCTCTGCTCATCTCTTGCCTTCAAAACCCCGTGAGGGGTTGCCATAAGTCGGTTGCAAATAAACACTTTATCATCATCAGCAGCAGCCAGTCCAATAGAAAAAGATAAGATGTTTTGATGTGCCTTGCAAAAGAAAACTTTTTCAGTGAAATTCAAAGTAATGTAAGATGCTATCTTTAAAGGAAGCTACAGTTTCATCTTTGGCCACAAGATGGCAGTGCAACACTTGGGGTCCTACTCGGTGGGTTGGCCCGTTCATCCATTTGCAAAGGCGTCTTATGAAACCCTCAGCTGGTAAGACTACAAGTCACTGTGTGGCCTCACAAACCTCTAGGAAAAGACGCGTGAACTGAATGTGCTTGTCCCTTTCATCTGTATGGCGCTGGTTCTAGTTTGGTGGCAGCATTAAAATACCTGAAAGCTCAGAAGTAAACTCCCCCTTAAACTAAGCAGGGCTGTTGAGAGCCACCATGGTCCCTGGACAAAGATTATACCTGCCCCCCCCCAAATAACATAACAAAACAAATCACTTTGCTTGCTGCTACCATGCATCTCTAGTAATAAAAGAAGTGGCCTCTCTGGCCATCTTTTATTTATTTATTTATTTCCCACCTTTCTCCCTAATGGAGACCTAGAGAAGCTGGTAGTTACTGTTATCAGCCATCAGTGTGCTGTCTTGTCTTGCTCTGGTGCTAGCTTGATTGATGAGCTTAGCATGATCTGTTAGGCAAGTTTGCTTCAGGTCTTGGAGAAAGGCAAACCTAGCCCAACAGCGGAGTGCTTTTTACTGTGCTCAGACTTCCTTGCGCCCCTAGTGGCTGTAGCCAGAACTGCATTTAAAAATAAATGGGGGAAAGTTTGGCGGGAAGCATAATGCTTCCTCTGATTGACTTGGGCACCCAAGAATTTTGTCCCCCCTGTTGGCAGCCCTGAAACTAAGAAGAGCCTATAAGATATGTTTTAATGTGGTGCACTGCAGAGCCTCCCATCTCCATGGACGTGACGAACTAGTTTCATGATCACACGACTGTTTTGGAACCCTGTTTCACAATTTGTATTTATTCCTTGGTTTCACGACTTTCGGTTCATCAGTTTTTTTTTGGGGGGACAGACTTATGAAAAAGAGAGTAGTAAACTATTTGGAGAGCAACATCTTTAGTGTATCTTGAGCCCACAGGTTACTTCACAGGTGATGCTACCAAAAAACCCTTCTTTGTAAGCAGCCAGCGAGACCTTACAACAGAAAGCATTTACCTTATCGAGAAGCAAGCACCAACAATTCATATTACATTCAGGTTGATATGATGAGGTCTTCTCTAATAAATCTCTCCCCTACAGAGCAATCAAGACTCCTAGGAGAAGCAAGTGCTGTCATTTGTCAAAGATAAGCAAAAAAAAAGTTTACACACAGTTTGTATAAAATACATTCTTTTCATTTGTTTTTTAAAAGCGCTGGTGCAAATGGTTTAAAATATACCATAAGTAAAGGGGGGGGGAGAGAGAAATGGCGGGACAGAGATACCACACTGGACTTAATCTAGAGAACGGTATACTTCTATGGATCTGTAGAGCCTCTGTGCATGCAAAACCTTCCCTGTTAATTTCAGTGTTCTGCATGTGTAACCCCCCCAACCCCAATACTGAAGCCAATGGGAAGGCATTTATGCAGCAGTTCCATATATACCTCGGAGAGTCTTAATGGGCCCATTAAAAGCTCTGGATCAGATAAACTGGCTGCAATCCAGCTGTGCAGGCACAAGCGGGGTTCTCTCAGTGCTGGCAACTGGAAGGCAACACACTCGTTGTGCCGCTAGATCCCAAGCCCAGTAGCACCTTAGAGACCGAGACTTTGGGGAGGAATGTGGGCTTTTTGAGAGTCAAAGCTCCCTTCCTCAGATTCAAGGAAGGTTTTACTCCCAAAATCTTACTGGTCTCTTAAGGTGCTACTGGACTTGAAACGTTCTAGTGCAGACAAACACAACCAGGGCTATTTTTGGGCAGGAACGCACAGAAACGGAGTTCCGGCTGGCTCCCGAGTTGGCCACGCCCAGCAGGAACTCATTAGCATAATAGGACACACCCAACAGCAGGAACTCATTAGGATTGGCTACATTAGGGGTGTGTGGCCTAACATGCAAAGGAGTTCCTGCTACAAAAAAAAGGCCCTGGGTTTTGACAACAGACAGGGTAAACAGAATAAGAAGCAAAAGGTGGGTGTGGCTGGATAACCACACTTCTGGTAACGTGGGGGTGCAGCCTAATATGCTAATGAGCTGTGCTGGTAGGGGTGTGGCCTAATAGGCTAATGAGTTTCTGCTGTTGGGTGTGGCCTATTATGCTAATGAGTTCCTGCTGGGCTTTTTCTACAAAAAGAGCCCTGAACACAACTACCCTCTGAAATGATCTCTGTACAGAACTTGGAGCTTTGCTGGTCGTTGCTAGCACTGAGTCTCCCACGCATGCCAGAGGCTCTGGATCCGTCCTGAAAGCAAATTAATAAAAACAGAAGAAGAGGTTTCTTGCTTCATAAACAAAAGTGGGGGGAGATCTGCTAAAACGTCTTGCTGTGCGGCATAAAAGGCAATCAATGGCTCTTGGCTGGCACCTAGGCAGTGGCTGAAACTTTGTAGGAGTAAATATTTGGAAGTGGCTTCTCAGGCTGATTCCTGCTACTCCAACATGGCAGCGCAGCGACCAACAAAAGCAGCCCTCCAAACAAGACACAAAGTCCGCTAAAATAAAATGCTGTGTCGTAGGACTTGGTCCAGTCATAAATCCAACCTGGGGGGAAGAATAGAAAAAAAAATCCAACCATCAGGCACAGAAATTTGACCGAAAAGATCAACAGTTCCTAAATATACCCTAATTGTCCTTTATATCAGGGGTCTCCCCAGGGTAGGGCCCGTGACTGCTATGGCGCCCACTGATACTGCTCCTGGTGTTCTAAGAGAGTGGGTGTGGCCAGGTAGCACTAGCAGAGCTTCCGATTGGCTGCTGGAGATCTGATAGACACTGCCAGACGAGTGTGTCTTAGGTAGCTCGACAGGTATACTTGTGGGCTTGCCAGAAAATATTTTTAAACAATATGTTCATTTTAAACAGCATCCATTTAAATAGAGCATCTGCCTGAAATGCTGAAGAGCTACAGTCACAGGTATGCACCGGGCTCTTTTTGTAGCAGGAACTCCTTTGCATATTAGGCGACACACCCCTAACGTAGCCAATCCTCCAAGAGCTTACAGCAGCCCCTGTGAGAAGAGCTCTGTCAGCTCTTGGAGGATTGGTTACATTAGGGGTGTTTCACCCAGGGCTTTTTGTAGCAGGAACTCCTTTGCATATTAGGCGACACCCCCCCTAATGTAGCCAATCCTCCAAGAGCTTACAGAGCTCTTCTTACAGGGGCTACTGTAAGCTCTTGGAGGATTGGCTACATTAGGGGTGTGTCGCACAGGGCTCTTTTCGTAGCAGGAACTCCTTTGCATATTAGGCGACACCCCCCCTAATGTAGCCAATCCTCCAAGAGCTTACAGAGCTCTTCTTAAAGGGGCTACTGTAAGCTCTTGGAGGATTGGCTACATTAGGGGTGTGTCGCCCAGGGCTCTTTTCGTAGCAGGAACTCCTTTGCATATTAGGCGACACCCCCCCTAATGTAGCCAATCCTCCAAGAGCTGACACAGCTCTTCTTACAGGGGCTACTCTAAGCTCTTGGAGGATTGGCTACATTAGGGGTGTGTCGCCTAATATGCAAAGGAGTTCCTGCTACAGAAAGAGCCCGTATGCATAACCTTGCTCCCTGTCATTTTGACTGGCTCCGCCTCCCGCAGCAGCCATTTTGTGGTTAAGCCCACCGCCCTGGGTCAGATGTGCCCACTGGCTCAAAAAGCCTGGGGACCCATGTTTTACATATTCCAACTAGACATCCAGGGGCCAGTTTGTATTTTTCCCATTAAAAAGTAATGCAATTGTAAAAAAAAGATATACCCATTCTAGCAAATAATGAAGTTAACACATTGTGGCATCCCTATTTGTGGCATACCCAGTGTGGAGTATGGGGACTAGCAACAACAGCTCAAGAGCACCAACAACACCAAAAACACACACAAAAATCACATTAACAAGGCCCCACCCCCACTCCTCTGCTGATTTAACCATATGCCCCAAAAGTCAGACTTAAAACATAGGTCTCCCCCTGCTTCTGAAAGATGCTTACACTTGGACTTTGGTAATTCACACATAGTGTCCCCCCCAGTAGTGGGGTACAGAGGAAGGTCCTAAGAGGGCATCTCTTCTCATGCAGTGTCCCCCTCCTTTCCGTCTCCACCAGTTCTCTCCCCAACTGCAGCCACAGGTACCAGATCCAATAAAGTAAAGGTAAAGGTTCCCTTGCTCGAAAGCCAGTCGAATCTGACTCTAGGGTTGCGGTGCTCATCTCCATTTCAAAGCCGAAGAGCCAGCACTGTCCGAAGACGTTTCCGTGGTCATGTGGCCGGCATGACTAAACACCAAGGCGCACGGAACGCTGTTACCTTCCCACCGAAGTGGTACCTATTTATCTACTTGCAATTTCTTGCTTTCGACCTGCTAGGTTGGCAGGAGCTGGAGCCAGAGACGGGAGCTCACTCCGTCTTGCAGCACCCGGGTCTCGAACTGCTGAACTACTGACCTTCCACAGCCTGCAGTTCAGCGTCTTAACCACTTGAGCCACAGGTACCAGATCCAATACTGCACCCCAAAAGCACCCTGAGGAATGCCCGGGGGGTGCAGAATCAAGAAGCAGGCAGGAAAGTTCCATTTCACAAGTAGAAGTCTGCTCATGACTCACTGTTTATAAAATCACTGACTGAAGACATCTCACCTTACAAACAGAATCAGAAAATGGGGTGTGTGGAACCCTTACCAAATATATTTCATAGGTTTTAGCATCTAATGACTATCTTTTCACATTTACAATGAAGTCTGAATAGCAGTAGGGATGTCATAGAATCACAGAATCACAGAGTTGGAAGGGGCCATACAGACCACCTAGTCCAACCCCCGCTGCCCATTGTAGGACCAGCCTAAAGCATCTCTGACAAATATTCATCCAGCCTCTTCTTGAAAGCTGTCAGTGAAGGGGAGCTCACCACCTCCCTAGGCAGCTGATTCCACCTCTGAACCACTCTGACCATCATTCACTTTGTTCCATAATTTCTTATTTAAACAAATTCTGCATTTGCCACAAATTACTAGAATTTACTTCACTGAGGAAGCCACAGCCTTTAGGAAGACCTGAGCAAGACTGTTCATAATAGGTTGTTTTGGAGGTCATTAATTCATAGGGTCACCATAAGTCAAAAGCAACTTGACCGTACGTAACACAAAAACACAAGAGGATGCCATTTTTGGAAAACAAATCAAGAAAACACACTTAATGCATGTATATGTTTAAAGTGCAATCTTACCTACAATTGGTGGTCCCAGACTATTTCCAAGTCCAGCAAAAAACATCAGTATACCATATGCATGTGCTAATTTCTCTATTCCTACAGTCTTTGTCGTGACATATGGAAAAATGGACCAATTGCCCGTCAGAAAACCTAAGACCCCTGAAAGTATTGCCAGCATAATGTAACTTTGGGCAAATGGAATCAAAAGCAGTGCCACCGAAGTCATTATTAATGTCAGGACGTATAGATATAAAGTATTAATCCATTTAAAATCTGCTAATATCCCTAAAGCAAGTTTACCAATTGCAGTCATAATGCCTATGATTGAAATGAGTGGAATTATGCAGTTTTCTTCACTAATATTTGAACTTCTGGCAATGTCTTCCATGAGTAATGAAGGAGGAAACACACCAATGTCAAAGAAGAGGATAGCAATAAAAAGTGATGAGAACACTTTGTTTTTAAAAAGACCAAGTGTTTCTGCCCAGTAGTCTAAATACAGGTGCCATTTCTTTTTGGCGAGCTGTTTACAGAAATATGTCTGTTCCGCAACTTTCATTCTGTAAGTGTCCGTCTCTTTCGAAGCTACTGACGATAGTCTGTTCTTGTTCATAAGAGAGTCCAGCTTACAATCGCTGCTGGGTGGTTTATTCACGCTTTTCTCTTCGGTACTGGCCTTTTCTAGTATATTGACATTTTCTTCATAAAGATGCTTTTCTCTTTCGTTATAAATGGAGTACTGGTCTGGAATCTTCTCGAGGCATGATTTCTCCGGTAAGGAAGAACCACACAAGCGCAAAGGTCTCATTAGACTCCCACAGGCTAGTATATTTAGAGACAGTGCGCCAACAATTAGCAGGCAGCCTTCTAACCCATAAAGTTCAATTAGTTTTCTTTGCAGTGCTGCATATATAAAAAGTCCGACACTTGATCCTGAAGGGGGAGGGGGGCGAGAAGAGAGACACTTTAAAATGCACACTTGAACCCTTTCACAGAGCAACCTATAGTACCACAATACTATGCCCATCAGGGCTTTTTTTTGTAGAAAAAGCCCAGCAGGAACTCATTAGCATATTAGTCCACACCCCTGACAGCACAGCTCATTCGCATATTAGGCCACACACCCCTGTTACCAGAAGTGTGGTCATCCAGCCACACCCACCTTTTGCTTCTTATTCTCTTTACCTTGTTTGTTGACAAAACCCGGGGGGGGGTTTGGAGCAGGAACTCCTTTGCATGTTAGGCCACACACCCCCAATTGTAGCCAATCCTAATGAGTTTCTGCTGTTGGGTGTGGCCTATTATGCTAATGAGTTCCTGCTGGGCGTGGCCAACTTGGGAGCCAGCCGGAACTCCGTTCCTGTGCGTTCCTGCCCAAAAATAGCCCTGCCCACCGTCACTGAACATGGGGATGGAAAATGACCAAGTAGTTGGCAAACATTGGCTTAGGATGTGTTACAGATTGATGTTGAGCTGTTTTTGAAGTTTGCATAAGGTTGTTAAGCTGTAATTGTTCAATTAGATCCTTGTACTCTACACGTGAACCTTGCTTAAATTAAGGAAATTGTATATTGTTACTCAACGGACTGCATAATTAGTTAGATTAAAAGGTTTCTTAAGGGTTTTATTATTATTTTTTAACAGACCTGAACTGTAGCTGTATGTTCCACAAAACCGAATGTTATTGTTTGTACTACCGGTAAAAAAATTAACTGGATCTCTTTTACTATTGTAATGATACTATAAAAGTTTAATAAAATGTCTCCAAAAAACATCTAGTGACTGGACATATCGGGGCGGATCCTGTGCACGGACCACGCAAAGACGCAAAAGGGTTACTATCTTCCCGGGTTTATCATCCCCACAGCAACCATTTCCAACCTTAGAAAATCTATTCCTGGGTTCACGGAATCTGCATAGAACCCACAGCTAGTTATACATAGTAGTACAGACTACAGCAGTGTTCCCTCTAAGCTAAGTTAGTGTGAGCTAGCTCACAGATTTTTAGTCTCCGGCTCACACATTTTTGTCTTAGCTCAGGAAGGAGGGCTCCAGAGCAAACTAATTTATGCGGAAGCCAAATCGCTGGCTCACAACTTTAATGCCAGCAGCTCACAAAGCAGACTTTTTGCTCACAAGACTCCACAGCTCAGAGGGAGCATTGGACTACAGTCCCCAATAATTTATCCAAGCAAATTTGCGACACCTTTTCCGCAGGGCTACCCTATTGCCTGAGTAGAAAGGCCCTCTTGAATTATTCAGTTTTGTACAGGTTGCCAAAAGCAGCAGCAGCAGCAGCAGCAGCAGGAGGAGGAGGAGGAGGAGAAGAAGGAGAAGAAGGAGAAGGAGAAGAAGGAGAAGAAGAAGAAGAAGAAGAAGAAGAGGAGGAGGAGGAGGAGGAGGAGGAGAAGAAGGAGAAGAAGGAGAAGGAGAAGAAGGAGAAGAAGAAGAAGAAGAAGAAGAAGAGGAGGAGGAGGAGGAGGAGGAGGAGAAGAAGGAGAAGAAGGAGAAGGAGAAGAAGGAGAAGAAGAAGAAGAAGAAGAAGAAGAGGAGGAGGAGGAGGAGGAGGAGGAGATTGGATTTATACCCCGCCCTTCACTTGGAGTCTCAGAGCGGCTTACAAACTCCTTTCCCTTCCCCTCCCCACAACAGACACCCTGTGAGGTGGGTGGGGCTGAGAGAACTCTGACACAAACTGCTCTTTTTCAAGGACAGCTGTGCCAGAGCTTGTGACTGACCCAAGGTCACATCAGCAGGTGCGAGGGGAGGAGTGGGGAATCAAACCCGGTTCTCCCAGATTAGAGTCCGCGCACTTAACCACTACACCAAACTGCTTTCCTGACCTCCTCCGGCGGGCCATTCCACAAGGCCTGAGCCACGACAGAGAACACACTTGTTGCTCTTGTCCATTTGCAGGCTGGCACAGCCTACATGGAGTTATTCCAGTCTAACTACTCTGTTTTCCGTGGACTCCGGCTGGAGTGACTCTGCATAGGATTACATGGGAAGCTAACGATGTCTAGTGTGATTTGCTGAGAGGGTTGCCCGGTCCCCCCTGGTGGGGATGTGGGGGGCGAGGTTGCCAGATCCAGGTTGGGAAGCTCCTGGAGATTTGGGGATGAAGCCGGGGGGGGGCAGGGACCTCCGTGGGGTACCATGCCACAGAGCCCACCCTCCAAAGCATCCATTTTTTCCAGGGGGACTGACCTCTGTAGTCTGGAGATGAGCTGTAATTCCAGGGGATTCTCAGGACCCACATGGAGGCTGGCATCAGTGTTCCCTCTAAGCTGCGTTAGTGTGAGACAGCTCATAGTTTTTTAGCCTCCGACTCACGCATTTTTGTTTCGGCTCAGGAAGGATAGCTCCAGAGCAAGCTAATTTATGCAGCGGCCAAATCACTGGCTCACAACTTGAATGCCAGTAGCTCACAAAAGTAGAATTTTTGCTCACAGGACTCCACAGCTTAGAGGGAGCGTTGGCGGGCATCTCTGTTTCCCGAGCAGAGGCCACTCCCACTAACGATGAGTCGCCAGGCCCATCAAACCGGGTTCTAAAACCCGAGCGTGAAGTTGGTTTATTAACCACAGTCAGTCTTAACTACAGGTTTGTGTGATATGTGAGCACGTATATCCTGGCTTGTTTACGGGACGCCTCCCACACCCTTCCAATGACAGAGTGACGCCAGCCTTTCTCAAGGCAGCTGAGGTCTGAGTGATCACCTAGAAGCAGACTCTTATTAAAGGTAAAGGTTCCCTTGCTCGAAAGCCAGTCGAATCCGACTCTAGGGTTGCGGTGCTCATCTCCGTTTCAAAGCCAAAGAGCCAGTGCTGTCCGAAGACGTTTCCATTATCATGTGGCCGGCATGACAAAACACCAAGGCGCACGGAACGCTGTTCCCTTCCCACCAAAGTGGTACCTATTTATCTACTTGCAATTTCTTGCTTTCGAACTGCTAGGTTGGCAGGAGCAGACTCTTATTAGAGCCTCACAAACTAACCACAGTTGCAATAATCCCCCCGTCTTGCATTGTTTCTGAACTACGTGGGAGAGTTATGCCCATATAGAACCATTTGGAACAGAAAAGATTAATTTGTGCTAAAACTCATACCTGTCGAAATGAGGCCAAGGGCGAGGCCTCTGCGTTTCTCAAAATACTGGCACGTAATAGTCACTGTCGCTGTGTACAACAAGCCACACCCAAGTCCTGAAAGCAGAAGAAGTTTGATCACAGATGAAGAATCCTTTCTTACCAAAGAAGCAATTGTGGTGATGTCTGGCACCGAAAAAGGCAGAGATAATTTTCCAGGTACAAATAGGGTTGCCAACTCTATGTTGGGAAGTTCCTGGAGATTTAGAGGGCGGAGCCTACGGAGGAGGAAACTGAGGGAGGGGAGGGACCCCACTGGGATATAACCCCATAGAGCTCTCCTTCCAAAGTAGCCGTTTTCTCCAGGGGAACTGATCTCTGCAGGAGATCTCCAGGCCCCATCTAGAGGTTCACAACCCTAGGTAAAAAGGTAAAGGTTCCCTTGCTCGAAAGACAGTCGAATCCAACTCTAGGGTTGCGGTGCTCATCTCCGTTTCAAAGCCGAAGAGCCAGCGCTGTCTGAAGACGTTTCCGTGGTCATGTGGCCGGCATGACTAAACACCAAGGCGCACAGAACGCTGTTCCCTTCCCACCAAAGTGGTACCTATTTATCTACTTGCAATTTCTTGCTTTCGAACGGCTAGGTTGGCAGGAGCTGGAACTAGAGATGGGAGCGCACTCCGTCATGCGGCACACTCGGGTCTCGAACTGCTGAACTACCGACCTTCCACAGCCTGCAGTTCAATGTCTTAACCACTTGAGCCACCGCAGCTCCCCACCCTACAAAGCCAGAAAGCCCTGCCACACAACCACCATTAATTCTAAAACAGGATTATTTGAGGCAGTTCCTGGCAAGCTTCTTTGTAATTCAGAGCAGTTACATTATGAATGCTTTGATGTTTGCACTTGTAAGTACAAAGGAGACCTGGAGTATTCGACAGCAGTTCTGAAGTACGAAAGATTCCCTTCCTCTTTAGAATACCTATGCACCCCATGCATTTCGTTAAGGCTCTCCCAGGAACTCTCTTACCAACAAGAATTCCATAGGAAAACAACAGGAAGTAGATGTTAGGTGCAAAGCTGCTCATCATCAGTCCCCCGGCCACCATGAAGCCACTGAAGATGGTTACAGGTCTTGCTCCAAACGCAGAGACGCATGCACTGCAAACAGGACCTATGCGGTTTTTAAGGAGTTAAACAAACAGAAATGGTGATATAATACGCTCTCTAAGGTAGTGCTCCAGAGATTCATTCCCTTAAGACAACAGCTCTCAACAGGCAATGCAGTAGCCCAGTATCAGGGGAAATAGGAATTCCTGTTTGACTCCTAGTGGGTGATCACACGAGCGGTTTGGCCCGACACGGCCACCCCTCCCCTCCGGATTAAACGGGCACAGTCACACAGCCACATCTGTCAGGCGTTCCCAAGGTGTACTCACCCTGCCGTAGGACGACTTGGAGCCGGGTTAAAAAGGCACCACATCACAAGTGGTGCTTTTGGTTCCCTGAGCATTCATTGAATGCGGCCGGATGTCTGAACCTGGTCGAATGCGTGTAGAACGGATTGGCGGTCCATTCTGCCACTGGGGTGATTTTTTTGGGGGGGGGGAGTTTTTGCCTATATGTGCATGAGCACACGTGCGCATGAGCGCATATGCACGAGCATATGCACGAGCATCCACCTGCATGTTAGAAAACTGACCAGGCAGCACACTTCAGTAATGTGGATGCCTGACCATGGGACGGCCGTGTGGGTAACCCACAGCAGGGTGTGCTGTCTGGATGATATGCCCCGCAACGCTTTAAAACGGTACAATTACAGGCGGTGCCGCCTCACGCCAAGCCGCCAGTGTGACCACACCCCTATTCAGCATTCAAAGAATAAACCAGGAAGTAGAACCAGGAAGTGCTCCTCACTTTCCAGTGCTTGATGGGACCACAGAGCAGTGAGTCAGCCTCCACTTTCACTGGTAGTTTGCCCTCCCGTACATTCAAGTAGAACGTGTGGTCCTGGCTCCCTCCATTCACCTTTGACTTGCCATGCCCTGAACCTGGGGTGAGAACAAGTGCGGATGTCTGAACCTGGTCGAATGCGTGTAGAACGGATTGGCGGTCCATTCTGCCACTGGGGTGATTTTTGGGGGGGGGGATTTTGCCTATATGTGCATGAGCACACGTGCGCATGAGCGCATATGCACGAGCATATGCACGAGCATCCACCTGCATGTTAGAAAACTGACCAGGCAGCACACTCCAGTAATGTGGATGCCTGACCATGGGACGGCCGTGTGGGTAACCCACAGCAGGGTGTGCTGTCTGGATGATATGCCCCGCAATGCTTTAAAACGGTACAATTACAGGCGGTGCCGCCTCACGCCAAGCCGCCAGTGTGACCACACCCCTATTCAGCATTCAAAGAATAAACCAGGAAGTAGAACCAGGAAGTGCTCCTCACTTTCCAGTGCTTGATGGGACCACAGAGCAGTGAGTCAGCCTCCACTTTCACTGGTAGTTTGCCCTCCCGTACATTCAAGTAGAACGTGTGGTCCTGGCTCCCTCCGTTCGCCTTTGACTTGCCATGCCCTGAACCTGGGGTGAGAACAAGTGCGGATGTCTGAACCTGGTTGAGTGCGTGTAGAACAGATTGGCGGTCCATTCTGCCGCCGGGGTGATTTTTTTTGGGGGGGGGGAGTTTTTGCCTATATGTGCATGAGCACACGTGAGGATGCTGATCTTTGCTTCATCTCTAAACTGGCTGAGATTTAAGCGGATTTATTTCTTGTTAAGCCGCTCGCTTAACAAAGAAGTCGGAGAGTGATTCAGCAAGAACACAACTTTATTCTTCAACTCGAACACAACTCCAACACGGATCAACATCTGATAGCCAGAACAGCCTTTACATTGCAGCTGTCCTGCGTTTAAACATTCCCGGCTAATGCAGCCACACCCACTGTACAAATACCAACCAATAAGGTTGTTCGCATAAGGACCAATCACGGATGTTCCCGGAGTTCTGGCTGGCTCCTGAGTTGGCCACGCCCAGCAGGAACTCATTAGCATAATAGGCCACACCCAACAGCAGAAACTCATTAGGATTGGCTACATTAGGCGTGTGTGGCCTAACATGCAAAGGAGTTCCTGCTACAAAAAAAGCTCTGAGTTTTGACAAAAAACAAGGTAAACAGAATAAGAAGCAAAAGGTGGGTGTGGCTGGATGACCACACTTCTGGTAACATGTGCGTGCGGCCTAATATGCTAATGAGTGGTGCTGTCAGGGGTGTGGCCCAATATGCTAATGAGTTTCTGCTATTGGGTGTGGCCTATTATGCTAATGAGTTCCTGCTGGGCTTTTTCTACAAAAAAAGCCCTGTTCACAACATATCATGCATTCAAGGCAGCTTTGAATACACTACATTTCTTGACCCCCAGGGAGCAAAAGTTTGAGAATTTGCATTTATTTCACTTGACCTATACTTTCTGGACTTCTGTTCGTCCACTATGTTCTATAGGGGGTCGCCCCTATATTTACACACTAACATCTGGATTGTCCCTAGGTATTATACCCTAACATGCCAAAACTCTATAACAAACAGAGAGAAAGAAATGCACTGTTATCCCTGAAGTATGCACTATAAACAATTAGCAATATGGACAAGATCATGCCTCTTCCTCATCCACTGAAGGGCTAGACATCATTATCCCCAACTTCTGACCACATGTCCCAGGCATCAACAGATGTCTGCACACTCCCTCCATTCAAGACCTCTGCTTAACCGACAGTTCAAACATTTCTGTCCCAACAAGTTTTGGAAAGTCCCACAATCTTTGGTAAATAAATAAATAAATTTGTTGCAAATACTGATTAGCCAAGACTGACACAAAGAAGCAGCAACACGAGAGCCAGTTTGGTGCAGGAGCACTGGACTCAAATCCAGGAGAACCGGGTTTGATTTCCCACTCCTCCATGTGCAGCTGCTGGTGTGACCTTGGGTCAGTCGTAAGTTCTTTCAGAGCTGTTCTCTCAAGGGCAGTTCTCAGGAGAGCTCTCTCAGCCCCACCTGCCTCACAGGGTGTCTGTTGTGGGGCAGGGAAGGGAAAGGAGTTTGTAAGCCGCTCTGAGACTCCTTCAGGTAGTGAAGGGCGGGGTATAAATCCAATCTCCTCTTCTTCTTCTCTACATACAATAAAATTTCAAAGCCACATAATGGGCTGATTTCAGTGGTACAGACCTAACCAGCTGTTTCCTTGTTAAACATGCCGAGGAGCAACATTTGGCCACCCTTCCAAAATAGCTGATGGTAAAGCATTAAAGCAGGCCAAGGTGAAGGCTCTTTGGTATTTAGGGAATTCCAAAACATATATATTATAGTCTGGTGGAACGAAGTTTTTACCATGGTTCCCCCACCATCAGGTAAGACCAGAGGTCATTTCGGGGGGAATCGCGGGGGAATACAGTTCCCCCGGGTGAGGTACGGGGGGCGGGGCACATCACGAAGCCCCGCCCCCTGCTTCCGGCTGCCCCGCTTCCAGCCCTCATTCAGCCAGGAGGAGGTAGGAGAAGAGGGAGGGTAAGTTGCTTCCTCCCTGCCTCTCCCCACCCCTGCCTGCCTGGGGCCAGGGAGGGCCTTGGCGGGGCTTCCTCGCACTCCCGCCGGCCTTGCAGGTCCACTGCCGGGCCCCTCATGGGGCTCGGCAGTGGAGCTGCAAGGCCGGGACCGGCGGCCGGGACCGTTGGGGGCGGGGTGTGTGGCCTTATGACACATTTCCGGTGATGTCAGGAGGTGTGGCCTTATGACACACTTCCGGTGATGTCAGGGGGTGTGGCATATGCTAATGAGTTATGCTAATGAGTTCCCCTAGCTCTTTTTCTACGAAATGACCCCTGTGTAAGACTCTGCCCACTCTCTGTCTAATACAGGGATGGCCAAACTTGCTTAACGTAAGAGCCACATAGAATAAACATCAGATGTTTGAGAGCCGCAAGACATGAACAAATGTTACTTCACTGAAAAATATGCAGATTTGCTTTTTATTAACATTGAATGAGACTTCCAAAAACAAAGACAAGGGGGGAAAACAGTAAAAAGCCCAGTAGCACCTTTATATTGCAACCAACCATATTTAAAAGCCAAATCTTCTTCCAGCACCTTTAAGACTAACAAACTTTATTGTAGCATAAGCTTTCGAGACACACAGCTCTCTTCGTCAGAGGCATCTGACGAAGAGAGCTGTGTTTCTCGAAAGCTTATGCTACAATAAAGTTTTAGTCTTAAAGGTGCTACTGGGCTTTCTACTCTTTTGTGGCAAAAAACTAACACGGATAACTCCTCGGGGTAAAAACATTTACCGATAATGATATTTATTTGTCCAATGATGTTTATTTGTTTGCTAATGACACTTGTCCAAGAGAGAAAGAACGCATTTGAGAATGCATTTAAAGCTAAAGTTGCTTTCTTTCTCTGCTCCCCACCCCCCACCTCAAGCCTACCAGGGAGGAGAACACTGGCCGGGGAAGGGAAGACCAATCGGGGAGGCGTGCCTCCCCTTCACTTCCCCAGCCACTCAATAGCTCTCAACCAGTGTGAGCAGAAATGATCTGAGAGTTGATCCAGAAGGGCTCATCTTAAACTTGAGCCCAAATACCAACCTTGACCTTCGACTCACAGAAGCACAGAGTGGGCAGGGGCCCTACAGGCGCTCTAGTCCAACCCCCTGCTCAATGCAGGATCAGCCTGGAGCATCCCTGACAAGTATTTGTCCAGCCGCTGCTTCAAGACTGCCAGTGAAGGGGACTGCCAGCTTCAGGTGGCACCATCCCTGACTCTAATATGAGAAGGGCATTGGGGACAAAGCGCAGGTCCCCAAATATGGATCTGAGAAATTCATATAGGATTGCCTCCAGGGAATGCAAATTATTATACGTAGTTGTGACCAGGCCCGTAGCTCGCGTGGGGCCCACCCTCCCCGTGGGTTTTGCGGAGCCCCTCCCCCAATCCTCTGCTCCCCCTCCCCCCAATCGCCGTGGAGTGCTCCAGGCTTCCTGGGCGGGGAGGAGGAGCCGGTGAAGCCGGCCGGTTCGCACACACACACACTCCAGCCGCAGGCTGGGAGTCCCCCATTATGGCGTTATTTTGACTTGGCAACCCTAGATAAGAACGATGCTTGCGGGCCCCC